CAGGGCCCGGCCGCGCCCCGCGGGCTCCCCGGTACCCCGTCCCCCGGCGCAGGGAACCCGCATGGCCAGCGCCCCTGTCAGGTGGGGCCCCGGGTCCTCCGCGGCCGACGGAGCCCGAGGGCGCGCCCGGAGCTCGGCCCTTCTGAGGCGAGCGGGCGCTCCAAGTTTGCAGAACCGAGCCTCGCGGCCGGGGACCACGGACCCTGCGACTTGGGAGAGGCGCCGGTCAGCGGCTTCCGCGGCCCCGGGCGCAGCCACGGCCTGGCCGCAGCGCGGAGGGGACCGGGAGAGCGGCTTGTGCGGAGAGGGTGCGGGACGAGAGCGGGCCCCGCTGCGGAGGCGCTGGCCGGGAGCGCGGGGCGTGAGCGCGAGTCGCGGGGGAGTAACCCACCAGGCGGCGGCCTGGGCCGACGCAAGAGAGCCGCCAGCCCGCGGGTCGGTGCGCGCGGGAGCCTTGCCGGCCCCGCGGCCAGTCTCGCTTTTCCCCTGCCGCCCCCGGGGACCCTAGACTGTTAGATTTCTTTTTTCTAATGTGCCAGATAAAATCTCTGAACAGAGCTTTTTAATGTTCGAGTCAGGATCTTGATCTGTATCAGGCAGCTTTGAACTCATTTTGCCGTCCAGGCAGGTCTCGAACTCGGGGCAGTCCTCGCGTCTCGGCTTCGGGAGAGCCCCGGAATTACAGGTGTGCGCCAGCACGCTCCGCTGACAGCCTTCTGGCGGCCGGAGAGACCTCAGGCCGGCGCGCGGTCTCCCGAGGGCCTGTCCGAGCTCTCACGCTTCCGCTCTGCTTTCTCTGAGCTGGCGGCTGCGGATGTACTGAGAGGGGACTCGAAGTTGGCCGGGCAGATGCCGTCCTGGGAGGGGACCTGAGAGGCCAGGAAGCCCCCGGGAGGGGAGGCCTGGGCTGTCCTGTGTCTGTGGGGAAGAGCTGACACCTCAGGGTCAGGATGCGAGGAGGCCAGGTGGGCCTTGGAGGGGCGGGGGCCGCAGCTGTGGCCTTGCTGCCTGGGGGGGGGGGCAGGGCCTGCTCCTGCCGGGGCGGTGGCAGTCGAGGCCCTGCTGCTTCTGGCCGGGAAGCTTGTGCCCATGCCTCCTCCCCTGCCGGGAGGGCCCAGCAGCCCTGGGCATTCTGCCTGGAAGCAGGAGTGCCTGGAGTTCCTGGTGCTGGCTGAGTGCTTTGCATTCTGACAGAGGTAGCTGGCTCCTGGGGCTGGCCTCTGCTGGCTGCCAGGGCTGCGATGCCGTGGGCCTGCCCTTGCCCTCCAGCCAGCACCCTGTGAAGAAGTGGGTTGAGCGCTGCATCGGGCCAGGCCTGTGTCTGCTCCTGGATTCATCCACCTGTAGGAATTAAGTTCTTGCCTTTGAAAAGTGATTATCTGTCAGTAGCAATGCACGGGAAGTTCCATGTACATACAGACTTTTTATAACTGATTAACCAACGTCTGAACCGAGGACATAGTTGACCCAGGAGGCCAGTGGCAGCTAGGGAGGGGCTGTCCCGTGTCTGCAGCCTGGGGAACTCCAGCCTGTGTTGTCCCACCGTGCGCCCTGTGGGCCTTTCTCAGGCGCTCACTGAGCCCCGCTCATGGTGTTTCCAGATTGCCCGTCTCCTGGCTCTGGGTCCTTTGGCCTAGGCACAGCTTGGTGGGCTGCACCGCCTCCTGACCCTGTTAAGGGTTCCTCAGGTCAGCTCCCTCCTCTATTCCCTTTTTTGAGGATTGAACTCGGGCCCTTGCGCTTGCCAAGGAAGTGCTTATTCCACTGAGCCATCTCCCTGGCCCTCTGCTATTCCCTTCACTGCCCAGGCCTTCACACCACTATATAGGTGCTCCACCGCTGAGCTTCCCTTTCTGGTTTGAGACAGTCTTGCTAAGCTGGCTCAGGCTGGCCTCGAACTCATGATCCTGCTGCTTCAGCTTCTTGAGTGGCTGAGATTACGTGCCACTGAGATAGGATAGGAGAAATAAAAGGCTGAAAGAAAGGAGGTGCTCACACTGAAGACTCCAGGACCCAGCGAAGTTCCCAGGTGATCCGCATCAGCATCTGGTTTAACACAGGCACCTGCCTGCAGACCCATTGCCCCCAGATTCCTCAGGATGCTGGAAGTTGCCGGGCCTTCGCTGATGCAGAGCACGCTGCTCCTGAGCTAAAGGAGCAGGTTGATCTGAAGAGCGCTTGGGTCACCTCTGACAAGTAAGACCCCCACTCCTGGAGACAGGCTGGTACCGCCCTCCTCCCAGGGCCCCACCCCTTCATTGTGGGACAAGTGTGTCCCATTTCTCATTGTGCACTGTGTTCTCAAGTGGTCCTAGATCTCTGCCTGATAATTTCTATGAAAGGGCGGCTTGAGTTCCTTACTTCCAGTGGGCTCCTGCGATGCGGTGCAGGATGTTGCTGTCTGTCCCAGGGCCAGGGTCTGTCCTAGGCAAGGGATGGCAGTGGACTCTGGCCCCCTCTGGTCTCCCTTCAGGCTGCAACTTGCACTCCTGCCTGTGTCTCCCCAAGACACTTCTGTCTGTCATGCTGGGCAGCTGAGGCAGCCTCTGTTTGCCTGGTGTGGGTGTGGGCTTGGGTGGAAGCTGCCCATTGGTGTGTCTGACACAGGACACCTCTGCTGTGCTTGTTGGGGATGGAGGAGTCTCCCTGGGGCTTTGGACTTGGGTGTGTTCGTGGCCTCCTGAAGTAGCTGTCACTCAGTGGAGATCTGAGCCTGTGCAATGGTGGCACGGGCTTGGATGTGGCTGTCACTAGATTCCTGCTAGTGAGGCCGATTACTGGCATGACGCTGGTTACATGGCAGTTTTACTCTTTTGTCCTCACCAGTTTTATTTCATTATTTTATTATCAGGTTAAATTGCTGTTTGAAATTTGAAAAACTTCACTAATAAAATAAACAGGAAATTAAAATTCAACCCATTTTGGTTTTTTGCGGAACTGGGGATTGAACTCAGGCCCTTGTGCTTGCCAGGCAAGCACTTATTCTGCTGAGCCATCTCCCCGGCCCCTAACCCATTTTCTGATAAGCGCCTTGGTGTGCATGATGAAGAGCTTGTGGCTTTCTATCTTGAAGGGAACGGTGTATGTGGTCGTGGGTTCAGCAGCTGTTCTTCCAAGGATGGGAGCCGGCCTCTGTCACTCGGGGGAACAGAGGCTTCCTGTCTGTGCTTGCTGCCTGCAGGTGGGGTGGCAGCCAAGCCAGGGCAGAAGGAAAGTGAGAGGCTGCACCTGCCAGTGGCAAGGGCTCCTCTGGCACAGCGATGAGCCCTTCTCCCACAGGGGGTGCTCCCCAAGGCATCTCTGTCCACAGGGAGGACACCAGCAGACTGGCTGTCTTAACCCAGCTAACGGTGCAGGAAGGGAGGGAGGGGACCTTCCTCAGAGCCCCTGCTGGCCCTGCTCTTGTGCAATGTGCATGGCTAAGGGCCATAGGTGTGAGGGCAGCCATTGTCTTGGGTCCACATGCACTGTGGGAAGGGTGGCGTGGCTTCCCATCCCATTGGTCGGCCTGGGGGGCTTCCCTGGAGGATGAGGCAAGAGGGGTGTTGGATTCAGCCAACTGGAATGGCCAAGAGGGCAGCGAGGAGCACCCCTGTGTGTTCCTGCCTAGGTGGCTGCAGTGACAAGAGTGGTAGCAACCTAGGCAGATCCAGGGGTAGTGCTGCTGTGTGCCAAGCAGCAGAGGGTGCGTAGCAGTGGGCGGCGAGTCTACCCCTCGGCGCTCTGTGCTGCGCCTTGTCAGGGCGCATAGCCCTCTATCCTGGGCTGGAAGATCCGAATGCCTGGGGCCCAGAGGAGGGCTGAGCACTTCTGTGTGCCGCTCCTGGTCCTGTCTGGGGGGGGGGGGGCTCTCGCCCAGGAAGGGGAGGGGTGTGCTCCCCGAGGGAACTGTCTGAGCTGTCAGAGCACAGGGCCCTTCATGCTGTCACTGGGTTACTAGCCCAACACCAGGGCTGTGGTGGCCTGGGGCTCTGCTGAGGGTGGGTGCACCCTTCACTTGTCACACTGAAGGCCAGTCCTGCAGGACACAGGACTCCACAGAGGGACTTCAAGAGGCCCCGAGGGCGAGGCCATCATGGTGCTCATGGGTGGGGAAAATGTACTCCCTAGGTCAGACTGACCCTGGTGGCCATAGGACCAGGGCCCGGTGTATTTGGAGACATTATCCCTGGAGAATACATTTGTTGTGTGCCTTAGACATTGCTAGGAAGCCACGGCTCCGTACAGGCCTCTGGCAGTGGATGTGACTGCATGGTTTGGCCTTGAACATCAGGAGACGCCGCTGTCCTGTACTGGGTAGAGTGTACAGAATCCTGTTGCCAAAAGGCCAGGCTGGGAGCCCTGGCTGTGTGTCTCCACATTTCCCCTCTTCACTCTTGCTTGAGGGAGTGTCTCTGTTATTTTTTTTATTTATTTATTTTTTTTCCTGCAGAACTGGAGATTGAACTCAGGCCCTTGCACTTGCCAGGCAAGTGCTTATTCTACTGAGTCATCTCCCTGGCCCCAAGGGAGCATCTTTGGGGTGTCCCCAGCCTAGTGTCCAACTGCATCAGACTTCCCTCATCCTGAGTTCTACTGTAGCCCCGAAACCCCTCAAGGCCCTATCTGGACACACAAAACAAAGTGAAACCCCCAGGATCAAGTTCACATCTCAGCTCTGGGCTTCTGTTGGAGATGCCCTTCTTCTCTTGCCAGTTTCCTTCATTCACGATGTGGAGTGGCCCTCCCTGGTGTAGGCGGGAACGGCTGTGGAACACTGTGACACTGCATGGCACTGCCTTTCTCCTCTTGTAAGAGAGCAGGTGCCACTGACCCAATGTGGCGTGGACTCTGCTGGGGGAAAAGTTGAGCCACAAGCCCTTGGCTCCCTGGCCTGGCCACAGGGCACTCAGGCTGCAGGAAGTGAAGGGAGCCCCTGCACTGGGCACGGAGCTTGGTGTACTGTCTTGTTGCTGCAGGCTCCTCTAGGTGGGACAGGAGGCTGGCTTTCTCACTAGTCTTTCCTGTCCCCTCTTGGCCCTGCCTTAGTGACAGAACCAGACTTGAGTATCCGACTGTTCTCTCTCCTAGTGCTCAAGATGCATGCAGTGTGAAGCTAAGTTTGACTTCATCACCAGAAAGGTGAGCAGAGGCTGCTGGAGGGGAGGTCAGTCTGGGGTGGGCCCTGTACACTATACCCCTTTCCAACAGCCACAGCCTCGGGAGGGATGGGCGGTGCGGGGTCACTCTGTGTGCAGATGAAATCTAGGAGAGTGGGTGTGCAGCCCCTGCATGCGTGGGCCCCTGGGCTGTGCCCAGGTCTGCCTAGAACAGCTTGTTCCGGCCATGGCAGCCCAGGGCAGGGCATTCTGGGTAGCATCACTAGACAGCTGAAGCACCCCTTTGACCGCTGTCATAAAGGCCTCATTTTCTGCTGAGGCTGAGCCCCGCTGTGTGAGGAGGACCCTGTGGAGGTGCGCCTGGGGAGTCCCACCTGCAGTGTGGCCAGCACCAGGCCTGCTCACTGCCCCTCACTCCCCCTTGCCAGCACCACTGCCGCCGCTGCGGGAAGTGCTTCTGTGACAGGTGCTGCAGCCAGAAGGTGCCCCTGCGGCGCATGTGCTTCGTGGACCCTGTGCGGCAGTGCGCAGAGTGCGCTCTGGTGTCCCTGCGGGAGGCAGAGTTCTACGACAAGCAGCTCAAGGTGCTGCTGAGTGGTAAGTGGCCCGCTGTGACCTGGCAGAGCGTCTTGCTCTGTTGGACGTCTCACCCCCTCCCCATTTTCTTCTGGGTTCATTTAGAAGCAGCTATAGTGTTGCTTCTTTTCTTAAGATGGAAAAGTTGCCTGAAATGGCAGCTCTGGCTTCCCTGGCCCTTCTTGGGGCTGTGGCCCTTGGAGACCGGCAGCAGTAGTGAGGGCAGAGCCCTGCTCTGAGCCGTGTCCTAGGAAGGAGTGGGGTGAGCGGGGCGTCCTCCGAGGCCCAGGTGTGCCTCCTGCTCCTCCCAGCTGCAAGGCCACGCAGACCCTGTGGGCCAGGGCTGGGCTCTGTGCTCCCCAGAGCGGCCTCCTTACTGTGTGGCCCCTGCCCTGGCCAGCTCATGCAGCAGGGCGGCTGTCTGGGTGTCGGTGATGAACACGCCCACTCTCCCTGGGCGAGAAGTCACTTAGGAGCTCCGTGAGCAGCGGTGTGCTGCAGGGCAGTGAGCGCCCTTTGCTTTGCTTCTCTGACCCTCACCCAGCGCCGCCTTTTGCTCGGTGGAGCTGCTGCACTTGTCTGTGGAGGATCAGCCTGGCAGGTGGAGTGCGAGCCAGCTCGGGGTGAGCTCACGGCACGCGGGCTGCAGCGGGGCTGCCGCTGTCATTCAAAGTGCTAAATGGTCACCATCACCGATGTAAAACCAGGTCACGTTTTCATGTTTGGTTTTGTCTCTCAAGGAGCCACCTTCCTTGTAACTTTTGGAAACTCAGAGAAACCTGAGACCATGGTTTGTCGTCTTTCCAACAACCAGAGGTAAGAGCCTGGAGTCCTGCTGGCTGGCAGTGCCAGGGGCTTCGGGCTGTAGTGACGCCACCTTCTGTTCACGTAGATGCTTGATTCTGGATGGGCACAGCCACTGTGAAATCGAAATCGCACACATCTCCACAGTGCAGATTCTCACCGAGGGATTCGCCCCCGGAGGTACATGCTGTGTCTTCCTTGACAGAGGGTTTGGGGCCCTGCATTCAAGCCCTCTCTGCGGTCTTGGTAGTTGGTGGCTTATCCTTAGAGCTCACCCAGCAAGCGGGCTTAGCCTGGAGGGCCGGCAGCCTGACTGCGCCGTGCTGCAGTGGCTGCGTGCAGATGGTTCCATCGCTGCTGGTCAGGCGCCAGGGCTCCTGAAGGGTTTCCAGGGGAGGCCAGCAGGGAGCCAGTGCCCAGGCTCTGAGGATCACGCAGGTCAGCTGTCCCATGGGATGGCACACTCTTCGCCCCGAGCCTGACCTGACCTCTCTTGCTTCCGTGTTCTGATTGGCTCTTGGTTCCTTCTCTCCTTTGCTGCCTATCTTCTTGATGTAGAAAAAGACATTCACACTTACACCAGCCTCCTGGGGAGCCAGCTCGCCTCTGCAGGTCAGCCTGTCCTCCAGCATGCTGTGGGCTCTGTCTCCACTGGTCACTCAGCCTGTCTGTGGGCGCAGTCCACACCAGGGTTCCTTGTGAAGCTCCACGTACTTCTTTGTGTTGATAGAAGAGACTGTGTCCAATAGATGGGCCTGTGACAAAGTATCACAGCAGAAGAAAAGATTCTATTCAAGGGCAGTTGATACCCAACCAGGCCAGGGCCCTGGGTGCATGGGCGGCACCGTCTCCTACCACAGCCTGCTTCCCTGAGGGCAGCGTTGTGCTGCCTGCGCGATGAGTGCCTGAAGACGCCTGGTGTAACACAGGCTCTGGGAAAGCCGAGAGCCAGTTCTGGGTAGGGGAGCCTGAGGTGCACAGGCCATGCTCGCCGCGGCCCTTCCTGGCCAGAGGAGGCAGTGGGTGTCTTCTGGCCTGGTGCCGCATGCCCAGCCTGTCCTTGCTGAGGCTGCTGACACCTGTGACTTTGAGAGTATTGGTTCTTTTTTCTGTGCTTTCTTAGACCCTAGGGTGTCCCAGAACCCTGTCTTCCTATGCAGATGAGGGTGTGCATAATGTGGATGTGCAGTTCCCTGCACTGAAGCAGCCTGCACTGCTGCGCACCAGCCTGGCCTTCCAGAGTGGGCCGAGCACATGCACAGTCCAGGGCCAAGGAGCTCTTCCTGGCCTTGCCCAGCAGAGCAGGTGTGCAGAGTTCCTGGGGGAGCTCGAGTGGCCCAAGCCAAGCAGAGGGCCCCTGCAGGGTGGGCAGGAGGCCCCCAGGCACAGCCTTCAGGGTCAGTCCCGGTGCAGCTCAACCCTGCCAGCTCCAGCTTTGCTTTGGTTCTGAGCACTAAGTAGGGAAGTCTGCAAGAAGGGTACTGCTCAGAATGGAGCTTTCCTTCTGAGGAGCCAGGCGGTGAGGGCTGCACCGTAACTGGTCCGCTCCTAAAGGAGTCTCAGCTGCTGGGCTTGTGCTGCTGCAGCAACCCCTTGCAGTAGGGCTTCGCGGGTGAGTGGCACATGGTGTGGTGGGAGGGTCTCCGCAGGGGCCTTGGTAACCTCTTCACTCAGCGCCTGAACGGGTGTCATCTTGGGGTCTCTGAAGGCAGACAGGGATCCCATGGGTCCCAGGAGGCTTGCCCAAGAACAGGATCCCCTGCACTCCCAGTGATGGATGCAGTTTCATTAGGCTGGTTGACACAGGCCTTTCCTCCCTGTGAACTGGGACCTTCTGTACTGCGTGTCCCCAAATAGCACAGGGTAGGTGGTGGCTGCCACCACTGACTGGGGCCTTGCTGGGCCTGTACCTGTCTGCCCTCTAGGAGGCAGCGCCCGGGCTGCAGGCATGTGCTTGCAGTACACAGTGCCAGGGTCTGAAGGCCCGGCCCAGCTGAAGCTGATGGCCAGGGAGGACGCGAACACCAGCAAGAGGCCGGCAGCAACGTGGTTGGTGGCTATGCACAAGGTACTGTGCCTGGGCAGGGGGTTGGGTGCAGGTTCCAGAGCACGCGCTACCCTGCTGGGTGGCCTACATGCCCTGAAAGGCACCACCAGGCTGATCTGGGGCTGAGCTGGGCAGGACAGGACAGATTGGCCACGCCTGGCACCACTTACCTTTGGTCACCCTGCAGGCCACCAAGCTCCTCTATGAATCTCGGGACCAGTAATTCCCACGTGTGCCAACTGCAGGGCGCGTCTAGTCACCTCGACCATGCCCCAGCCGCTTGTCTCACTGAGCACTACAGGGCCAACCTGGCTTGTGCTGGAAACGCAACTCAAGTATTTGGAGACACAGGTGTTCACTTACTACAATGTGTACACAGTTTATTAGTGCTTTAAACAGCTCCTCATGTTGTAGAATTTGTCTGTTATCCTGTTGATCTCATGGAGGCAGGGAGGCTGAGCTACACTACTGCTAACCCATTTTCAGCATAACAGTACCACGTTTCTGAGGTCCCAGTGCCCCAGCGCTCTCCATGCCCTCCCCACAGACTAAGCTGGGCAGCGCTCACTCGGGCCTGAGGAGGCTAAGCTGCACCTGGATCCTTCGCTACCAGAAGGCTCCACCTGTTTTCGACTTTTCACTTACTATCTCACTTTATTAAGCAATGATATAGCAATCTGTATATAAAGCATACAATTAAAACCTATTTTGAAAATACGCACCAGGCTCTGGCCTCTCTGTCAGGCATGTGGAGGTTTGTGCCCCAGCTCGTGCCGTCTGCAGAACATAAGACTCGCAGCCAGGTGCCAGGCAGCAGTTTACTGTGCACATGGACACGGTGTCAGCAGTGCAGGGGACGGGGCATTCAGTACCACATCCTGTTCAGTCACTGCTTGAGTGAGGATGGCACACTGTACCCATAAACTTCCATGTGTTTGGACACAAATGCACACAAGACCACATGTGGAAAGGAAAGCCTGGGGCCTGAATTTTAATGAGGAGAAATACTTCCAATGCAGTTCCGGCAGTCTGGAGTGGTCCAGGTGACAGCAATCTTGGTGTCTAAAGGCCTGTCCACAGTGCCGGCTGGCACAGAGCCTGCCTCGCATAGCCCAGAGCTTAGGCACCGACCCCGGGCCCCAGCCTTGTCCACGCAAGCCCTGCCCAGCAGTGCCACAGAACCCAGGTTCTCTGCGCTCACTGGGAACGAACTCTGGCTGTGCAGCCAGAGGCTTAGGAGCCAGGAGCACGCATCTTGGGGCACGGAGGACTGGCACAGGGACAGCAGGAAGCAGCACCCCAGATCAGCCTGCAGGGGCCCTAGGGGGCACACACCGGACAGTTTCTACCCTAGACTCCTTTGGTAGTGAGAGGGGAGGGTGGTGGAGAGGGCAAGGAGGGCAGGGGGCATCTGATGTGGGTGGGGCAACATCTAGCATGGGCAGTCAGAGCTTATCTTCACTGGCAGACAACCAGGGGGCAGGACAATGACAGGGCTGCTTATTGGCGACTGGGGTAGGTGTTCTGAAAGCTGAGTATTTATTTGCATTTATAGTCACTGGCAAAACTCAGTCTTGGAGGCAAAAGTACCTTTCCCAGTTACGGTAAGACTGGAGAAAGGGCCTCACCTGGGAGTGGGGGAATTCACACTGTGGACGCTGTCTGCCAACATGAGCACCATGAGGCCGCCCCAGCGGCAGCTCTCCAGGGGACAGCAGGATCACGTCCAGCGGCTCCTGGGTGCTCTAAGGGGGAAGCTCAGGCAAGTGTTCGCTGCCGGGGCTTGATCCGAGGATATAACTGGAGAGCAAGAGATTCACATCAGGGCCAGGAAGCGACGTGAGCAGCCCTCCTGGCAGGAGCTCTTGGCTCCGGACAACCACCGCTTGCCCCTTTGCCAGGCCTAACCTCAGGTTTCTTCTCCTCCCAGCCTCATTTGAAGTGCTGCACCGGGCCAGGGAGATGGCTCAGTGGAATGAGTGCTTCCCTAGTAAGCACAAGGGCCTGAGTTCAATCCCCGGTTCCACAAAAAAAAAAATAAATAAATGAAGTGCTGCACCGAGGGCCCGCCCCAGCTCGCAGCACCCTGTATCTACCCTGTGTTGGACTCCCGAGGGTGCAAGCCCCACAAGGGCAGATGTGCACTTGCCTCGCACCTGGAAGGCAGGAAGGCCTGGAGTGAAGAGCGCCTTTGCCATCAGCCCCGCCCCGCCCCCTGTGGCTCCTCTGCCCACCCAGTGCAGCTGTTTTGGGGCTGCACAGCCCTGTCTCCTAGAGCCCACCATGCACACAGACACCAAGCAGCGCTTGGCCAGGGCTCAGTCTGCCCAGCCCGAGCCTGCCCAGTGGGGAAGGGCCTGCTAGTCCCTAGCAGATCTGGACCATGCCTACAAGTGGTACCTTGGACTGCACTTTAAGAAGCCGGGCCTCTGAGCACTCTTACCCCCAGCAGGTTTTTGGGCACGTAGCCCTCCCGGTCCCCAAGGCGGGCCCACCACCACTCGGTCTCGCTTTCATCTTTGCGTCTCAGGATGGTGATGGCATCTCCTTCGTGGAAGGTCAGCTCGTCACTGTTCTGGGCCTCGTAGTCCCACAGGGCATACACCACACCTTTGTTCATCACTCCCAGCTTCTCCTGCACCCCTGGGAGCAGAGAGCAATAGTCAGGCCCAACGGGACAGTCCACATGCAGAAGCCCCGAGGAGACTGGTGGGCGTGCTGCTGCGTGCCCATACCCAGTGCTTCTCCAGGCCCAGCAGCAGCCTCTTAAAGTGCAAAACCCTGGCTGTCTTTGTCCCTGCAAGACAGCAAGGTTGTCCTTTGGTGTCCGTGGGGACAGCTTGGGAACCCCAGCAGACACCAAAGCCCTTGGTGCTCATGTCCTCTTCACAGGAGGTGGTGACATTCAAATACATAACCTGCATGCATCTGCCCTAAACTTGAAATCATCTCTAGGTGACTTCCATCGGCTAATGCAGTGAAAATGCTAGGCAGACAGTGGCTGTGCTGTGCTGGTTGGGGAATAATGACAAAGTCTATGTGTTCATGACTGTCACAACTTTCTTCCCAAGTGTTTCAATCCACAATTGGCTGAATCTGTCGACACCAAACCTGACCGTACTTCTGAGATCCTGTGCACAGCAGGAAAGGTGTGCTACCCTACAAGGTACTTCAGGTGAAATGTGAAGCCTGTATGGGCTGGAACTCCGCAAGTCATCAGCTAAAGGGCCTGTGCCCAGGAGGACCTGCACCTCGGCTGCTGAGTGCGTGCAGACCCGCGGCCTCTGTGGGCAGCGCGGTCCCTGTCTGGAACCTGCCTCGCCTCTTCTCTCCTGCTCCAGCTGTAGTGGCTCATCAGGATGTGAGCTTCTCTCAGACAAATGACCAGGCTCAGGCCTGTGCAGGGACAGAGTGGCCCTGCTCTAGGCACTGGTGCACAAGGCTGCCAGGCCTGACACCAGCTCCTCTGCACAGAGAGTCACCATGAAGCACAGCGGGTCATCCTCGTTCCTCTGCGCCTGGCGGAGGATCTTTATCCATGTTTACAGCATGAGAGGAAGGACAACGCACCCCCCGTTGGAATGAGATGTCCGACTGCCCTGAGGAGACTGGCATGCAGCCCTCAGTGGATCTCGGGGCGCCCCAGAGCAGCAGCACCACAGCAGTACCACTGCCCCTAGTGTTGCTCACAGGGGAGGAGGCTTCCCACGTACCATAGAGGAACTGAGAGCACTGGATGTAGCCTTCCTCCATCTCCTCACACTTGTCTGCAGCAGTCTCGATGTCGCTGATGGTTGAGGCAAAGATGGCTGCTCCACTCTCCACCAGCTGCTTGCACAGGTGGACGCTGTTGCAGGAGGCAGCACAGTGCAGCGGTGTCCTGGAACAGAGCAGTGAGGCTGTGGCGGCACCCGGCTGCCACCTCTTTGCAGGATGCACTGCCCAAGAAGCCCGTGGCTGAGGCCATGCCTGTGCTGAGTGTCTGGCTTTAAAGAACAGGTACTTTCTACTGACAAACTCTTCTGGGCCACATACCAATTTCTGTGAAGCAGGCAGGAACCGACAGAACAGCAGCTGACAGACACTGAACGCATGAGGACATGGACGTGCGCAGCACACTATGTGGGCCTGTGCAAATGGCCAAGACAGCAGCCCGCAGGTAAGGCCCTAGATGTGCTTCGCCACAGCTGTGCAAAGCAGCTGTGCCAGCAGCAGCAGCAGCAGCAGGGGAGCTCTGTGCAAGTCCAGCAGCGTCTGGCAGACTGCAGCAGCTCTCTGGTCCCAAAGGCAAGGGAACCTAAATCAAACACCTCGGTGTCCAGCAGAGACCTGTGGTTACTTTGTATATATTCACTTCTATGAGTTTATGCAGAGGAGCCACAGCTGAGACACTGAGGAAGCAAGCGCGTGTCTCAGCTTTCTAAACTGCATGTTCCAAGAGCTGGGGGCGGGGCAGGCATCTCAGATGTGCTGTGTACACGCACACACTCCACGAGGAATGTAATCACTAGGTACTGCAAACACAGACTAATACTTTTTTTCTTTTGGTGGTACCAGGGATCAAACTCAGGACCCTGCACTTGCCAGGCAAGCACTTACTCCAATGAGCTATCTCCCTGGCCATTCTGGGCTAATACTTTTTTAATGCATATTTTCCTTTAGAAGGTAGGAAAATGAGTCTGCGCTCCATCCCCAGGGGTCCTCACCATCCGTCACTGTCAGCAGCATTCACGTTGACCCCAAAGTCCAGCAGGAACTTGACGATGTGATGGTGACCAGCGCAGACAGCATTGTGCAGGGGGGTGATCCCCTCGTCATTGGGCTTGCTGGGGTCCTCCACCTGGGACACGGGGCATGTGAGAGGCTGCCACCCAGACCACATCCGCCCGCAGCACAGGTTGCAGCTCACCTCATAGATGATCCTCTGCACAAGATCAAACTCGCCTTCCAAGGAAGCATCTAGAAGCAGTGCCAAGGGATTGAAGCGTACTCTCAGCCCATGCCCTGTCCGCTCCGAGTTGGGCTTCTTCAGGTTGGTCCGTTTATTCTGCAGAAAGAAAGTGTGTTTTCAACATCCACGTGACCCCCAGAGGAGCCAGCTGAGACCTGCACAGGAGGATGGTGGAAAGCCCAAGTCATGACTGCTGTGAGGTCCCAGCATGTGTGCTGCACCCCTTGGAAGGCCCTTAGTGGGGGAAGCGCAGTCTGCACTGTCGGCCAAAGCCATGCCCAAGGGAGCCACCAGCTCAAACTTCCAGCTCCAGCAGAGACCCCACTAAGGTTCTAAGAGGAGCCTGGCCCTCCCCCAGACATCTGTCTACAGGACTCGTCCCTCCCTCTCCGCCTGTCCTCCACTGAGGCACCAGCTGGCCCTTTTCTGTGCCTCTGGGTCTGTGTGATCACCCAGCCTAAGTCTGGGCACAGGGACAGCTTGATTCTGACAGCCCCACACACAGCCCATCCAGGCAAGCACCGAGGGAGGCAGGGTGTTGGTCTTGGGTCTTTCAAGGACACCCACCACAGAGGCTGCTGGAGGATGGCCAACAGGGGGCAGAGTTGCCGGAGGGGTCTCCTCTTCCATTGGAGATGGAGCCTCGGCCACCGGGCTGGGGATCTGCTCTGTGGAGGGGACCGTGGCTACATTGTTGTTATTGTCCTCTGCAGGCTCAGCGGTTTGGTGGGTTGTTTGTGGACAGATGAGCTCCTCTGGCTGAGGGGAAGGCAGCTCATTGTCGTTGGCATCTGAGGAGGGGACAGACTCATCAGGCTGTGGGACTATGGGCTGGGCAGGGGTGGACTCTTCCAGGTTGCCATTGGCATTGGTATTTCCATTGTCCATGTCAGCCAAGGTGCCCCCGAAGTCCTGGGAGGGGCTGGGCTGGTAGAATGGCGTGCCCTCCATGCCTCCGGCCAGCGTGTTGAAGCGCTGGTACAGTAGCTTCTGGATGTTGGGTCCACCGGGGCCCTCTGGCTCTGTGATGGAGCTGCGCTTTTTGAGGGGCCGAGGCGCATTGGCCAGTTTCCGGCGCAGGGCCTCCAGGTCCGCGTCGCTCTGGTAGCGCAGTGGTGAGTGCACAATGGGTGTGAGCTTGGTGGGGCTGAGGGGCCGCGGCAGGCTCTCCACCGTGCTGCCCTCCCCTGGTGCGGCCGGGCCCTCGGGCTCAGGCTCTTTCTCCGTACATTCTGAAGATGGCTGGGGCTGGGAGGACCCATGGAGAAATGGTAAGGGTGATGGAGACGTTGACCCTGATGGTAAGACGGGCTTGCCATATACTGGAGAAGACAAAAGACGGAACAATTAAGACTAGTGGTTGAGGGGCCGGGGAGATAGCTCAGTAGAATCAGCGCTTGCCTGGCAAGTACAAGGGCCTGAGTTCAATGCCCAGTTCTGAAAAAAAACTAAAAACAAAAAAACAAACAAACAAACAAAAAAAACCAAAACCTAGTGGTTGGGGCTGGGGTTCGGTTCCTGAGCACTGACTCTAAATGAGGGAGTCTTGCTGCTGCTGCTGCCAAACCCAGCTTATATTCCTGAGGAAAACTCTGCCAAGTGCCTCCATAGGCTCCTGTCTAGAGGTGTTTCTCAGGGGCTGGGCAGATAGATCAGTGGTCTAGGTGTCTGCCTGGCAAGAGCAAGGACCAGGGTTCTATTCCCAGTGCCACATGTCATGCTGGTCCTGGAACCCCAGGCATACCGTGCTAGCCACTGAAACTGGGTGTGGTGGCGCACGCCTGTAATCCCAGCACTGGGGAGGCTGAGACAGAAGGATCACTACGAGTTCAAGCTGAGTAGCAAAACCCTGTACTAAATAAATAAATAAATAAATAAATAAATTTTTTTAAAGGGTATTTTTCTTGGGTACTGTTTTACATTTGGGTTTCCAGAAGTGGGGCTTTCTGTGTGTGTGGTACTGGGGATGGGCGCCTAAGGGGCCCTGAACTAACTCCCCTGCCTTTTGTGAGATAGGGTCTCACTAAGTTGCCTGGGCCGCCCTCAAAGTTGCAATCCTCCTGCCTCAGCCTCCCAAGTGGTTTAGATTAATACTAGATGAGAATGCATCAAACCTGGCTTGAACTGGGCTTTTTCAAAAGAAGAAAAGCTTGCTGGCTTGGCTGGCTGGTGGCAGTGACCCTCCTCCCAGTGACCATGCTAGGGCCTGGGTTCAGTCGTGGCCAAGAGGCCTGGAGGGCGGCACTGGCCAGGTCAGGGCCCAGCCCTGCTCACAGACAGCTCCTGGCCCAAGGGACTTGGAATGGAAGGAAAAAGCACACTCCTGGAATCCTGACCTTCCCGGGGTTGGGTCTTACTGTGCGGGGAGCTGAATGCTTTGAAGGAGGTTGGAGGGCTGAGAGCAGCTCAAGGTTTCAGCTTCCCATCCCATTTCTGCTGACACCTTCGGCTTGACTTTATGTAACAGTCACACTTACCCTGCACAGTGTGTGGCCCACACATAAGGGTGCGGATTTATATTTTCTTACTTAAACCATACTTTGCTAGCCCCAAGAGGAGAGTAGAGCCCACCGTACCTGCTTTCACCGACTTGTTCAAGGTGCTGTGCACTGCAGGCTGGTAATTCTTAGGTGGTGTGGCTTGCTGGAGGTACATGGAGTATATGGAACTTGAATTGACCGTCTGGGGTCCTTTCCTGGGAGACTGTGGCCTGGACCCTTTATCAGCCAGGAAGGGTCTAATGGCCACTGTCAGTGGGAGCTCAGGTTTGCCATCTCCAGCTGGGAATGCAGGTGGCCCTGCTGGTGGGTACGTGGGACTTGGCGGTACAGAAATCCTCTGCTGAATCTGCTGTGAGGAGCCAGGCTGGGGGATGCTGCCTGCTGGGGGGAGCGGGGTGGGTTTCTGCCGACTTGGTGGGCCTGCACCCGGGCGAGGCAAACTCCCCTCTTTCCTTCTCTCCAGAGAACTTGTTGAGCCTGGGCCCAGGGGTGTAGGGCTTGGGTATGTCCCATAGCTTGGAGGCAAGGGTTTTGCTATGCCAGGGACAGGAGGTGGCCCTTTGCCAATCTCAATGCCCTGAATTTAGGTGTTAAGAAGAAAAACAAAGTCACTCTTTGAAAAGTTACGCATATTTCCACCCACAGCTACAAGAGAATACACAGGATTTGTAATCCTGCAAACTGGTCTGTGAGCAGGACACAGCACATTGTTGGGCTCACGGCTGCTCTGCAGCACGGAGGCCAGACCCCAGAGGGCTGGGAGAGTACACTACCTGGTTCCCCAGGCTCTGGGCTCATGTGCCCACAGCAGGACCAACCCATCCCATGATACCTCTCAGCCCCACGGCAAAGACTTGGCAGGGGGCAGTTTTAGGCCCACGCTCTATAAGGGACAGGTAGCCTACCAGCTTCTCTGTGGCTCCCAGTGCTGACAAGGGCAGTGGCTGGCTCGAGATGGCGCCCTGCTTCAGGGGCCCCTCCATGCCCGGCTCCTTCCAGTCTGTGCTGGCCCCCTGCGCTGGCTTCACTGAAGAGCTGGAATTCTGCTTTAATGTTGGCCAGTTGCCATCATTAGCTTGAAAAGAACACAAAATGTTTTTTTTTTTTGTTGTTCTTTTAAAAGAAGGTGAATCAACTTGAGAATGGCCCCTTCCAGAAACAAAGATGGCACTGGGCTCTGCATCTTGAGGGGCCCCTGTAAGCAGGCAGCAACCACCACCCACGCCAGAGGCCCACAGACCAGGCCCCGGCCAGGGCCCTCTGTGGCCAGTGCCTGGGCACACAGGGCACACCCCACCAAACTACAGGTCAAGCCTGTCACATCCACAGCACAGATGCAGCAAGCACCGGCACCTACTTTCCACACACCACTGACATGTACAGCTATATGCCACAAGAAGACACTTTTTTTTTGTATTTTTAAAATTTATCTTCTGACTTCATAACAGGTTTGACCTGTACTACTTCCACAATAAAAACTGCTCTTCTAACATGAGGAATTCCTTTCACCTGAGATAATTTGTGTCACAGTACAAGATTTCATGGAGCTGGAGAGCAAGAAGGGCTACCATTCTATGACAGTGATCAGCAAGCCAGCCATTAACCCAAGACACCAGGAAAGCCACTGAAAAGATTTGTTTTCACAAAGCTTTTTCCAAACTGATAACAGGTGCTTGGGCACTCTCTGGTCACAGAGTTGCACGTGGCGTCTCGGGGTCACTGTGTGTCCTACTCGTGCGCCTCTGCCTGTCTTGAGCTGCTCCGCCCTGGCCAGGGCTGTCCTCCCACAGCAGCCTGGGCAGACAGACAGCACCACAGGCTGGCAGGTAACTGAGAATCGCCTGACCTCACACTGCGCCTGAGCACACTTTTGACTCCTGAGAGGGAGAATGAGCTTCTCAAATATACTATGCAAGAGGCAGGGCACACACAGCCTGTTCCCAAGCCACTGCCTGGCTACAGTGGCACTTCCACCTGCCATGCTCCATGCTGCTGTCACTGCCCTGCTGAGCAGGACTCCAGGCAGCAGGTCTGCCAGGCATTCCAAGGCCAAGCACAAACTGTCACCTTATTCCACGAAGCCCACGGGCCTTAGGTCACAGTGTGTGCATTCACCTCCTCCTGACTGCATCTTACAATCAGAGTCAGTGTGAGCTCCAAGAACCTCAGCAGAGGTGCCAAGACAAAAAGTGGGCTGAGGGAGAAGCAGAGGCCACCTAGGTCCCAGGCTGGGGTGGGCCAAGGGGCCTGGACTTCCTACCCTCTCAGGGCTGTAGGAAGGTGGCTGTTAGCAACCTCTGAAACCCCACAGCACCTGGGGCTTTCTAGAAACCAGCCACGAGTTGTTAGAGACAGCCTTCCTACCTTCAGCACAAGGTGGGCGTAGAGACGGCCACTTACTTTTATGGCAAAGGGACATTTTCTTTTGATTGTGATGGGAGATTCTTGCCCTGACAATAAAACTCAGAGCCTCAAAACAAACTCAGAAAATCATGTTAATGCTTAAAAAAGCCCCAAAAAACCAAACCAAAGAACCCCCCCGCCCCATCAAAGCGTTTGCAGGCTGGGTAGATAGCTCAGTAGAATAAGCACTTGCCTGGCAAGCTCAAGGTCCTGAGTTCAATCCCTGGTTCCGCGAAAAAAAAAAAAGCCCTTGCTCTCAGCACGTGTCACCTGGTGTGCCACCCTTTCCGCTGGCCAGCTGTGCTCCTCCAGCTCACCACCCCTGGTGAAAGAAGGGCCTACTGGGTGGAATTTTTTCAAGTCTGGGCATCAGAGCAGACCTTTGTCAGTTTGGAAAAATAAATGATTCTTGATCCAGCCTGTGAGAGGAGGTCAGAGCCCCCCGAGCCTACTGGCCGACATATGGTGTACAAGGGGGCGTGTGGGCTGCTGTGAGGGGCCGCAGCGGGGCCCGGTGTCCAGGTCTGACACCGCCCATGTGCTGGTCACTCTGGGTCTATTGTGGCCATCTGTGTGACACAGAGCCAGGACAGCCAGCGGTGAGTCCTCACAGTGAAGTCAGCAGGGAAGGAGCTGTGCGCGCTATCTGCCACACACTGCTGGCCTGGACCGGGCAGGGCGGAGTGCAACAGCTTATCAAAGAACACTGCTGCAAGTACACACATGCTGCCGTGGGGTCCACGTGGCACTGGCAGGATTTGGCCCCGAGGGGGCAAGAATGAAGTGGACGGGTGATGCTCAGCAAGGTGGAGGCAAGGGGTGGAGTGCTGGAGCCCAACCCGGCAATTGATTTATTTATTTTTGCGGAACCGGGGATTGAACTCAGATCCTTGAGTCTGCCAGTCAAGTGCTTATCCTACTGAGCCATCTCCCCAGCCCCCAACCTGGGCAATTTAGTGAGACTGTCTCAAAATAAAAACTTACAAGTAAGGACTGGGGAGGCGGCTCAGTGCAAAGGCCTGGACTTAGTTGAGGAGGAGACAAGAGAAAAAGACAGAGACAGACAAAGAGACAGAGAAGGAGAGAGAGATCTGAACAGGGCTCTTATGCACAGGTCTGGCAATGCCCTCCTGCCCCCCAGTCCAGAAGGAGCTCTAAGCTCCCCAGGGGGAACAGCAGTGTTACCACATGCAAAGTATCAAGCAAGAGAAAGGGACACAGATGAAAGACTGGTACAAACTGGTTACCAATCCCCAAAGAATTCAAAAACACAAGCCCAACATAGGAGAACAGCAATGCTGCTTTCTTAAACAAAGGACTGTCGAAGCCCAGACTCCTCAATGTGCAAAGCTACCTGATGCACAGCTGCCACATACGCAGCCATACAGACACATCGCGATGTCTGTGAAGGGCGAGCCACGCAGGAGCAGGCAGGCAGCCCTGCCAGGCCGACTGTGCTGGGACACGCAGCAGCAAGGCATCCGCCTGGCCAGAGAGCCTTGGGGCACACAAAACTGTGTGAAAGGGCACTGCTCTGCTGCATGCTTTACATTTTGGAAAGCTATGGTAGAGACCTTAACTCAGGAAGAAATTTCTCATTTTAGAGTCACTGTTAGCATGGTGACATACAGTTTCCAAACACTGTCCCAGAAGACTGGGGCTGTAGCTTCCTATGGGGCAAGTCCTAAGAAGGTTCACCTTTACGCCACTGCTGTGCCTATGCCACCCAGCCCAGGGCCACTCACCAGACTTAGATCTCCCGTGGGCAGCACTTGAGGCAACAGTGAGAGACTGGGGCTTCACAGGGTCTCCTGGGACAGGACAGCTTCCAGCACTGGGGACTTGGATGTACGGCCCCACGGCAGCAACCCTGCCAGATGTGCTCAGGGGCGACTGCGGTGATGATGTGCCATTGACACGGCTTAGCTGCAAATAAGGAGAGAGTCAAGATCCTCCCAAGTCAAGAGAAAGGCTAAGCCCAGGCAGCGGGGGGGCCTCACTGCAGTCTGCTGTGGAAAGCCCTTGCCCTGGAGGAGAGCTGCAGAGCAATTCGCCTGCAGCCATGCAGCTGCTGCCTCTGCAAGCACTGCCTGATGGTGAGCAGCAGGAACAAGCAGCCTGCAAGAATGGCACAGTTAGGGCCGGCCAGATAGCTCAGTGGATTAAAGTGCCTGCTCAGGCAGACACAGGGATTGGGGTTCAATCCCTGGTGTGCTGTGCTGGCCCCGCCCCTGGGGCACACTGAGACGGAGATTGAGACTGGGCATGGTGGCCCATGCCTATAATCCCAGAGCTTGGGAGGCTGAAAACAGGAGGACCACCATGGAAAAAAAAAGAATGGCACAGCTCCCACTGACACACGCTGCCCTCCCTGGGCCAGAGGCGCTGCTCAAAGCGCGTGTTCTGAGCACAACTTCACGTCCTGCTCGGCCACTTTGTGCTACCTTGGGCAGCAGGGACGCCGGGCTGTACCCCTGGCAATAAGCCTGGCCCCTAAGGGCAGCTCTACCTCTCTGAGCGAGGACATGGCCACACAGTGCTGTCCAGGAACAGAAGCATCTGCAATGGGATTCTAACTGAAGAATTGCTGAGCCCCTCAGTGGGCCTGTGGGGGACCCACAACCACCTGCTCTGCTTTGTGAGCCTGTGTCCTTGCAGGGAGTGCTCAAGTGCCAGCACCTGTGCTGGAGTCAGAGCTCTGCAGGTGTGAGAGAACTGGCCTAGCTATCTGTGGAGGCTGGCTGTGTGCATCGACCTGGCCAGTCCATGGGAATGAGAAGCACTTAATCAGCGGACTCTGCAAGGCAGACACAGGGAGAGGCGGGCCTCTTGCATTCAGTGGGGAGTCTCCCAGGAGGCAGGAGCACAGCCTTGGGCTTGAGATGCAGAAGGAGCTCCTCAGGCCCAGAGTGCATTCAGGAGCCTCTTCTGCACGACACACATGCCGCTCCCTGAGGGGCCCTGACCACGGCCCCAAGTAAGCATGGAGAGTATGTGTGCAGGGGCTCTCTCCTGGCCTGAGCTGATGATCTTTAAAGAAAAAGAAAATCAGCTGAAATTGCATTAATGTAAACAGTCCAATGTTTTTTAAAAAAGATAGCCATGTAACTAAGAGGCTGACTGCAAGGCCCGTGGAAGTGGCTGATGCCCTCTTCCTCTATCACTGTCCAGGCCCACGAGAGACTAAGCCTCCATCCCTGAAGCATCCCCCAGAGGGGCAGAGGCAAGTGCTGAGCCCCCCAGGAACTCTGGGAAGATAGTGGGTCAGCCCTGACAGGCAGCGTACAGGGGGCTCAAGTGCCACAGCCAAAGCCACAAAGGTACACACACGTGCTCAGCCGTGTGTGTGTCCCCCAGCGCACCAAGTGCTAAGCTGGGGGGGCACTCTGGCTCTGGTACCAGGTCTAGGCCACAGATGCTACAAGAACTAGTGACCTGGAAAGACATCCAGTTTCAGTTAAAAGAAAGAAAAAAAGACTAGGGGCAGACAATGTGACTAACATAATTCCTACAAACCCATTTCCAATTAAAATCATATACCTTTCTATATATTTGTGTCTGGGCTAAGAACTGGAACCATTAGTAACTGTCACCTCTGGAGAATAAGTTAGAACTGCCGCGCTTTCCTTTAAGTACTTGTGTACTGTTTCAATTTTCACACAATAGCTATTTACTATCTTTGAAATTTGAAATGCCAACAACAAAAAAAGGTTTTAAAAAAGTGTAAGAGTAGAGCCCTTCTATAGCATGTTGCTTGATCGCTTACCAAGCCCTTAAACCGCAAGCAGGCGCGCAGGTTAGCACTCCCCAGTGCAGTGGAGATGATGGGCCAGGCTGGGGCCAGCTCTGATCCTACACATGGACTTCTGTTTTCTTTTTGAGACAGGGTCTTGCTATGTATTCTAGGCTGGCCTCAACTCGTGGTCAGGACCACAGCGGATCCCATGTGTGCACCACCAGACCACCTGCTACCACTGTCACTGGGCGTGGGGGCCTACTTGTGCTCTATGGGCTGGGTAAGGGGTGTGCTGTCACTCTGGGAAGACAAGGGCTTTGGCGACCCACTCTGAGCGACAGCTCCCCTCGCACATGCCTGGATCTTCTTGCCATAGAGACGCTCACGCAGCTCGCTGATGCGCTTGTCCATCAGGGCCACCTCCACGTTGCGCTGGTTCAAGAGCTCCTTCTGCTGCTGCAACTTTGAATTCTGTTCCTGGTTGAGCTGGTTACGAATCTACAAAACACGAAACACAATCTTTTAAAGATCTGTATTAATTAAGAAGTCAAATTCTCATTGCCAGGGAGAATTTTTTTTAAAAAGTAAGAGAGGGCTGGGGAGACAGCTCAGTGGTCTAAGTGCCTGCCTGGCAAGAGAAAGGACAGGGGTTCAATCCTCCATACAACACGCCATGCTGGCTGCACATGGAGCTGGCTACCGAAACCAGGCGTGGTGGCACATGCCTGTGATCCCAGCGCCGGGGAGGCTGAGACAGGAGGATCACTACGAGTCCAAGCTGCACAGTGACACCCTGTACCAAATAAATAAAGAAAGAAAGAAAGAAATATTTTTAAAAAAATATAAGAGAAAAGGTAAACTTGAGTTGGGCGATGTTAACACACATATATGTTAGCTGTGTGCTATAGGCTTTAGAGGTGCAGCACAGGAGACACCAGAACAGACTTCCTAGGGAACACAGAAAAAGCAAGCACTTGCAACTATGTGCCCTCTTCAAAGCATACAAGACAACCAGGGCCAAAACGGATATGGGAGACCAAGACCATTCCAGGGGCCCTGGGGACAACCCCTGGGGAACCCTGCAGCACCCTCTCAGAACTCCAGAGGCCAGTGTGGGCCACCCTGCTTGCCACACAGGCCTGACACCACCAAACAGCAGCCCCCTAGTGAGGTGCTGGGAAGCTCGCAGACAACCTGAATCACCACGGGTTTCAGCGGGTGGCAACAATATTATTAAAAGATGAAACAAGACGGAACGGTGGGTGTGAGGGTACCCTCCACTCAGAAGGTTAGGGACTGTCTTGGTGAGCTCTTCGGGGCCACTGCACAGGCGCACCGCACACACCTGTCTTCATGCACGGAGCGGAGGCAAAACACACTCCAGAAAGTTAGAGACAAATTACATGTGCCCATCACACCTCCTCCAGAGAAGCCCTTTAGAACCCTACACATTTTATAGTTGTTTAACACATAGCATGATAAAAACTTTATAGTAACCACAAGTGATTTTACTGTTTTCATAAAATGATACAGTGCTTTTCTTTTTTTTTTTTTTGCGGAACCGGGGATTGAACTCAGGCCCTTGAGCTTGCCAGGCAAGTGCTTATTCTACTGAGCCATCTCCTCGGCCCCTCTAGTGCTTTTCTTAGCAAGTGCTACAAAAATCACAAAACTTGCTTCTGGCCTTAAAACATTGCCAGGTAAGTGACCGCGTGTGAAACCGGAACCCTCAAGCAGTGTGTGGACCTGGTGCTCGTGCCCTCTGAACTCCTGGCTCGCAAGCTTATGTGCAGTACGACACTGCCTGGACGGAAGGGCGCTGCGTTAGTGAGGTGCCCAGGGCTAGAGGGCCTCTCCACACGTGAGGACACAGAAGCGGCCGTTTAGGCCCATGTAACATGCCAGCACTTGGCGCCTCCACAGGTATGAGACATGCACGTCCCAGCCGCCAAGGCTGCGGCACCTTGTCAGGGCAGCCTAAGCTAAGACAAGGACTTAATGAAGGGCACCCAGCTCAACAAGTCTGCCCCAAACCTTAAGCCTCACCTAACACTTGCTTCACTAGTGTATCCTGCCAGCTGAATTCTGGGACACTGAAAGTGTGCTAGGTGCCAGCCAATCCCACAGGACACGGACTATGACTCCATTCCTATGAAGTGTCCAGACTGGGCAGTCCACAGAGAAAGAAGCCAATTCCTGATTGCCAGGCTCTAGATGGATGGGCTGGCATGGGGTGATGGCTAAGGGGTGAGGGCTCAGCTTGGGCCAGTGAAAATGTTCTGAGACACAGCCCCGGAACCCCACACCTTAGATAGGCAGATTACATCTCAATAAAGCCATCTAAAAATTACCCTGCACTTAACGTAGTTTGTGCTTATTAAATGAGACCCAACTAGACTCATTTCTACTGTCCAGGTAGCCGCCCCACAGCAGGGAGACTGAGGAGCGGCGGCCGCCCCGGCCCCGGGTGGGCGGGTTACCTGCAGCTCCTGACGGAGGCGCTTCAAGCCCGCTGCCGCCGGCCCCGCCAGCTCGCCGCTGTAAGGCTGGAGCCCATTCAGTCTTCCCCTCTTCAGATCTTCCAGTTGCTGACTCAGCTGATCAACTCTCAAAATTGCAGTCTGTACTTCCTGCTGCTTCTCCTGGAACACTGCGCTGAACCTTTCTATCTCAGCAGCTGTGATGGCCACCAGAACGACAAAAGCAGAAATCGTCTGATGAGCAGCCCATCTTTATTTCTGTACACTACACTCAACTCTGGTTACTATTTAGTGCAGACCTTGCACTCAAGTGTATGACACTGACTCCTGGCACAGGCAATGATTCTACTTGTAGCGAGTTCTGAATACAGGGGAATCAATCCAAAAAGCTAGCTTTGTAAGCCACTTAGGGATCTCAGGCACCAACAGAACAAAGGGCTTGTGAAGGCCTTACTCATCACTGTGACATAAAGTGGACACTAAGTCGATTTAAAGAGAGAAAGCCCACCCAGACATGAAAATCAGCCCTTGGACAGCTTCTCTTAATGCACAAATAACATTTAAGTTGTTCCTGAAAACAGATGTGCACAATCACAGGATCCTGGAGCTGCCCCTTCCCAGTCCAAAGGGCTATTGTCATCAGGGCAACGGGAGAATCTCTGGACTGTATCACTCAGGCTGAACTGAAATATCCTATTGTGTTCTGTACACAGGTACACATACTACATGCTAATCAAAAGTTTTAAAAGAAGTTTGAGAAGGAAATGCTAACACTCCTAATTTGATCACTATACACCTAGATATGTATCAAATTACCACACTGCACTCCACAAGTATGCACAATTAGAGTTATATTAAGAAGCAATAGAACAGGCCCGGGGAGCTGGCTAAGTGGAATAAGCGCTTCCCTGGCAAGCGCAAGGACCTGAGTTCAATCCCTGTTTCCACCAAAAAAAAAAAAAAAGGCACTAGGAAGCTAGGCATGGTGGCACAGCTTGTAATCCAGCACTCAGGGGCTGAGGCAGGAGGATCACCGTGATTCCAAGCAAAACTCTAGGTCAGCCTAGATTCCAAAGCAAGACCCTCTCTCAAAAAACCCAAAACAGCAACAAAAATAAAACACAGCAGGGTATTGATGTTAATGCAATCCTATAAACTCGAACACAACCTACTTCAGTTTTCACGTTTTATGTGGACATCCTTTATTTTTTGCATGAGGGACTGCAGAATTTAAAAAAAAAATCATGTGCCCCAACCATCCCCATGCCCTAGTAACATAGCGACCTTCAGTGCACTGGTGGGACACAAGTCCTTGTGGATCTGTGGCTGAGACTGTCAGGTAGCCAGCCTCTGCTGTGCTGGGGGAGTATGGGCGCGGTGGGCCACAGGCACGTACACAGATTGCCGTTCATAATTTTGCTGTAATCCACTTGTCCTCTCATGGCACGGATTTTCTTCAGTTTGTTTTCTTGGGCCTCAACTCGTTCTTTCAACTTCTGAAGCTTCTCATTTTCAGAAATAGACTGCTGCTGGCGACGCTCCTGTTGCTTTAGAAAATGTAAACGCTGTTCCTGACAAAGAAGAAAAATCGAGCTTTGTCAACTGAAACTCACAGGCCAGGGATATAGCTCAGCGGTACAGCGCCTGCTTGGCCAATGCAATTAAGATCCCCTCAACACACTTAAGAAAACCCTGAGTGTGCTCCCCAGCCTCACTTATCTCAGCGAGTACTGAAGGGACCCTCAGGCACCCACAGCACTAAAGGCGCCCATCAGCCCACACCAAGCTAAGTCACCAGGCACGCACGGGGTGTAAGAGCCTGAGGGCCGGGAGGCGGCTCGGGGGAATAAGCGCTTCCCTGGCAGGCGCAAGGGCCTGCGTGCAAGCCCCAGTTCCGCACTAAAGAAGAACCTCAGGATCTATGCAGGGGCTCCGATCTGCTCAGCTCTACCCATCTATAGAGTCAGAGTCGCCGCGGGACGTAGCATGGCGTAGGGCGCGCTCTGATGGCCACTAGCTCCAGCTGCACCACTCCGCAAGCCCGCCTCCTACTTCAGGAGGGAGCAGGTTTCCTGCCACTACAAAGCACACCCTGTTTCTCTTACTTCACTTTCTAAAGAATGGACACGGTCTTTGGTCTCTGTGGCACAAGCGAGATGACGAAGGGAACGTCATCCTTTGGAAAGCGTCGTAATAAGACGCACACGTTGTGCTGCCACTGTGGCTCTCAGGCCTGCCACCTGCAGAAGTCGACTTGTGGCAAATGTGGCCATCCCGCCAAGCGCAAAAGAAAGTATAACTGGAGTGCAAAGGCTAAAAGGCGAAATACCACTGGAACCGGTCGAATACTGCTCTATTACCAGTTTATACTGCTCCTTAAAAATTGTATATCGCAGATTCAGGCATGGCTTCCACAAAGGAATGACACCTAAACCCAAGAGAGCAGCAGTTGCAGCGTCCAGTTCATCTTGAGAACTGCAGCAATCACTCAAAATAAACGCTTTGGTTTCAAAAGAAAAAAAATAAAATAAAATAAAGAATGGACACAGGCCTGCAGAAGATTTTTCATGTGAGAAAAGGAAACAGTAAGGAGATAAACCTCCGATTTGTAAGTGGCACTGAGCAATCAAGGAATGTTTCCTTTCTGCAGGATTAGTTTCTTCCAAAACAACCAAACATTTTACAGAAATAAATAAATAAAATAAAACTATGTGCTGGCTGGGCACGGTGGCACATGCCTGCAATTCCACTACTCAGGAGGCTCACAGTGAGTTCAAAGCCAGCCTGGAACACATAAGCAACTTAAGACAACTTGAACTGCACAGTAAGACCTGTACTCTGTCTCAAAACAAAATACCACTGTGTAGTATCCTTCAGTGGTGCTGTTCCCTATTAACAGAACAACATGAAAGGCTTAAGGATGATTACACAGACATCACCATACATTAAGGCTGATATTTAAGATGTGGCATTAACTTGTGAATTATACTGCTCCTTAAAATATTAAGGCTTTTAAAACCAGCAGCATTCTTGGAAAAGAAATAAATAGAACACTTCATCTTAGAAATCTTACTAGTGGGATACTTTCTAATTTAAAAAATTTGTAATTGTTTTTTTTTTTAATTTTATTTATTTATTTATTTAGTGTGTGTGTGGCCAGCTCAGCCCACCAGGGGGCGGGGCTGGCTGGCATGTGGTGCTGGGGGATTGAACCGCGGTCCCTGATGCTTTGCTAAGCTTGTTCTAAGTAGGTGCTTTAGACCACTGAGCCATCTCACCAGCCCCCAGACTTTTTAAAGTAAGTCTAATTTACATTGTTACTTACATAAAAGCAGACAGTACAATGAACTGCACAGTTACTTCATGAGCAGAAGAAACTGGATTGACTGGTCATTTGGTCATTAAGGAAATCTCTCTATAGAAGAAAGCAGTACAAACTTGCTAAAGTTTAAGGATTCTCTTTAAAGCAGCTTCAGAAAATTTTAAGACTACTCACATGAATTGTTTCTAGCAGGCATGATCCATGGGCCTGACTGCTTAGGCCTGCCATGTAAACCATGACTTAGAGATGCCACAGATCTTACTCTACATAGAGTTCCAGCCACAAATGGAGAATTCAGCACACAGAGTGAGCATCAGCTGTCACTTATTTAGGCCTCATCATGAATTGCAGTTTCCTCTAGGACATGAATACCAAGCTCACAGCAGAGAATATGCTAGGGGAACAGAGGTGACGAGAGAGAGCATCCTCTTTTCTGAATGTTGTCTATGGTTTGGGCAGGACAGCCACTCCCTGTTCTGGGTGCCTGTGAAGACGCGTCGTGACCAGGGACTCTTGCTCTCTGCCTTCCAATGTCACAAAGCTCCAGGCTGCTCTGTGGCTACAGCAGGGACCAATGCACTTCAAAGCCCCTGCTCAGCACGTCCCCAGCCGGCCCCACCTCGGGAGCGCTCAGCCCTGGCCTAGGTCTGCAGCTCCTTGTCCTCCCTCAGCTCCTGGCGCCAGGACTGCAGTCCTGCACCTCCACAGCTGGCTCTGCTTCTACAACCTACCTTGGCCACCAGCATTTGTTGTTGATTTTCAATTTGCTGTTGTTGCCTGGCTGCCATATCCTGGAGCTCTGAGAGGGTGAGTTCGACGCGCGGATTCCCAACCTGCAAGGAACGAGAAGCCCTCAGAATGTGCATTTATCTGCAGCCTCCTTTATCTAGGGGGGGATTTTTAAATAGGTTTCCTAAAATTTAGGAGAAAAAATTTTTTTTCATAAGAACTTTTCCTAATTA